TTAAACACGCCCCAACATGTCTACGTCACGATGTGGGTCGTTGTGAAAGCGAGACTACTTTGTTTGGCCTTCCAAAAGAGAACGATCTCTGCTTCGTCATGCCTTGAGCTGATCCATGCTAGTCGCTGAGGTAATACATCAACCTCGCGCTGTGGATCGCCGGATCGGCTTTCACCGTGGACGAAGCAGGTCTCGTCGCTCCAGCCGGGACAAGGCATCACCATATGGTAAGGGCATAACATTTCCGTCACACGCTTGAGGTATTCAGGCAATCACAACGCACTGGATAGCTGGCCAATCAGAGCACACCTCGTTTTTCAGACTGATGAGCTTTGTAAAAATCGACGCGTTTCAGAAAGGCGGGGCATAGAGGAGAAACAATAATGTACAGTATGTGGAAAATAATGTGTTTTTTGAACCTTAAACCGCATAAACACATTTCATTACACCAAATACACAAAATAATGTTCTTTTTAGCAACATCATATGACCCCTTTAAACTCGCGCTAGACTTAAGTCAGTCATAATGTTCTTTGACAATGTAAGTTCTTTGCTCGCATTCTCTTTATAATTTATTCGCTGTTTGAATAACTGTGGAAAGTACAGGTAATAAAAAAATTTATTCATTGCCTCATCCGTGAACATCCTCCTTCGTAGCGTCAAGCTTCGCCTTTGTTATTGTTTTGAAAATGTTTGAAAAGTTGTTGTTTTTTCTAGCTAATGAGTGACAAAAACATTGAAAGTAGTAACTGAACGATATATCTGCATTTTTTTCATTATCAGCATCAATACTTTTCTCTGTTTGACTGATGCATCAGATGCGGGACTTTTATTTTGACAGCATGCAAGACTTGTATTTCGATTTCATTATGTAAAATACATTTATATTACAGCATGTGATATCATATATATCGGCTTTATACCAGCCATTAGCCACCCTGATATATCGGCATCGGCAATCAAAAAAATATATCGGTCAAATAGTTGACAGCCAATCAGAATCCATTTGATTTTAAAAAGCTTGAACATTTAAAATAGCAAGACACAAAACTGCAGCATGCCTACAATAAACAGAAAGTTATCAGGTGTTGGTGTCAACAATAATATAGTTATCGTTAATTACACCATTTATTTCTCAATAAATTAAACCTTTCATTGTAGCTGGACACTATTATACACAAATGTTACATACAGTCAAGATACATGTACCGTCACTGACTTTAAAATGTCCCATTGTTTTAAAGCTGCAACTAAAAAAAAATAAATAAAAAAAATAAATTAATTCACTACCTCCTAAAACTGCAGCAAGATGGAACTGGATCCAAAAAAAAAGGCATGCCAATGCAACTGTGAAAGGTGAACTGGATGGACTAGCGGGTACTACAGATGATTCAATTAGGCCTAGTTGCGCGAATACGCTTTGTTCAAGCGGCAAAAGCACAAGTTTGGCTCGTACCCTTATCGATCACCTGGTAAAATGTGTA